ATAGTGGCTGCACCAGTCTGCATTCCCACCAGCAGTGCACGAGTGTTCCTTTTCCTCCACATCCTCTCCAACACTTGTCGTTTGTTGATGATAGCCATTCTGGCAGGTGTGAGATGGTACCTCATTGTTGTTTTGATTTGCATCTCTTGGATGATTAGTGACTTTGAGCATGTTTCCATATGTCTCTTGGCTTTCTGAATGTCCTCTTTTGAAAAGTGTCTATTTAGGTCCTTTGCCCATTTTTTGATTGGATTCTTTATCTTCCTTTTAAGTTGTATGAGTTCCCTATAAATTTTGGAGATTAAACCCTTATCAGATATAACATTGGCAAATATGTTCTCCCATGCTGTGGGCTCTCGTTTTGTTGATGGTTTCTTTTGCTGTGCAGAAGCTTTTATTTTGATGTCCCATTTGTTTATTTTCTCCTTAGTTTCCATTGTCCTACGAGCTGTATCAGTAAAGTTATTGCTACGATATATATCTGATACTTTGCTGCCTATAGATTCTTCTAAGATTTTTATTGTTTCCTGTCTTATGTTTAAGTCCTTTAATCCATTTTGAGTTTATTTTGTTTATGGTGTAAGTTGGTCTAGTTTCATTTTTTTGCATGTATCTGTCCAATTTTCCCAACACCGTTTACTGAAGAGACTTTCTTAACTCCATTGTATGCTCTTGCCTTCTTTGCCAGATATTAATTGAGCATAATGTTTTGGGTCGATTTCTGGGTTCTCTGTTCTGTTCCATTGGTCTGTATATCTGTTCTTGTGCCAGTACCAGGCAGTTTTGAGAACAGTGGCTTTGTAATACAGCTTGATATCTGGTATTGTGATCCCTCCTACTTTGTTCTTCTTTCTCAGGAATGCTGTACCTATTCTGGCTCTTTCTTTATTACATATGAATTTTTGGAGAGTTTGTTCTAAGTCTGTGAAATATGCCATTGGTATTTTAATGGGGATTGCATTGAATCTATATATTACTTTGGGTAGTATGGACATTTTAATGATGTTGATTCTACCAATCCATGAACATGTTATGTTCTTCCATTTGTTTATGTGTCCTCTATCTCTTTTTTCAGTGTCTTGTAGTTTTCCGAGTACAGGTCATTTACCTCCTTAATTAACTTTGTTCCTAGGTATCTTAATTTTTTTTGGTGCAATGGTAAATAGGATTATTTTTTTAGTTTCTCTTTCTGTGAGTTCATTATTGGTGTATAAAAAGGCTATAGATTTCTGGGTGTAAATTTTGTATCCTGCTACATTGCTGAATTCATTTATTAAGTCCAATAGTTTTTTGATGGAATCTTTACTATGTACAGTATCATCCTATTCCTTATTTCTATTTTTCCTCTTTCTGTGAGTTTGTCTTCTTTTCTCTTTCCTATGCAAATTATTTCCCATCTTATGTAGTCAGATTTATCAAACTTTATCTTGTTGCTGGTGGATTTGGTCACAGTAAGAAACAATTTTCCTGTTCCCAGATTATAAACACATTTCCCTGTGGTTTCATTTTGTTTTTACATTTACATTCCTGATTCATGTATATTTTGTTGTATGGTGTGAGGTATAATGGTATGGTCTGCAGTTTAATCTTTTTCAAACTGACTTCCCATTAATTAAAAAGTCCATGTTCTCCACTACTGATTTGAAATGCCACCTTTTTAAATGTTGTATTCCCATGTGCACTTAAATTTATTTCTCAATTTTCTGTCTAGTATGTCTTTCTGTGCCCCACTACCATCTCTTTAAATTACAGAGACTTTAGGGGAATTTCAACGTTTCCCTCATAGAGGTTTTATACATTTGTTGATAGATTTATGCCTAGGTATTTTAGTTTTTTTCTTGCTAATACCTATGGGATCTTCTCTTTGATTCTTCTAATTGATTATTGTTTTCATATATGAAAACTGTTGATTTCTGTATGTTAATTATTATGTATAGTCTGTAGTATCTTCCAGACCTGTCTCCTGAAACTCAAGTTAGCTTTTCCTCTTCCTTTCCCTCAATTCTTATGCTGCTCTTTGCATTCTCTTGTCTAATTGGGTAGCTGTTGCCTTGAGTAAATATTAAATAGTAGGAATAGTGGTTTTCATGTCTGTTGTTCCTGATTTTCATGGGAATGTCTCTGGTTTTATCCCATTGAATAAAACGCCAGGTTTTGAGCTGATGTATATTTATAATCACATAAAGTATTTATCATTGTTACTTTATTGCGTACTTTTAAAAAAATCATGAATAATTGTTGAATTTTGTCAAGTGACTTCTGACCTTGACGGAGATTGTGTTAGGGTCCCGCCAAGGGAAGAAACGACAATTATTTTATAAATTGCTAACCAAATACTAGAGAACTGACAAGAACTGAAGAGGCAAAAGGGACCAGCGGAATATCGAGCAAGAGAAACGGATGGGATTGAAACCAAAAGGCTCGGAGGCAGAGCTCCAGGACTGGGGAAGGCGTGCCACTGGCCCGTGCTGTCTCCCCGAAGGGCTATGGCAAGTCTGGTGGAGACTGTGAAAAAGCTGCGACCTGGAGCCCGCGGTTGCTACTGAAGCAGTTGCTCCTCCTGTGATGCGGCAGGAATAGGAAGCAGTCGAGGTTGGAAATTTCCCCTCCTCCTCCATGCTTCCAGGCTGTAGTACGTAAAACTAGTCTGGAAAAGAACCAGTTTTGCTTGATTTGAATTTTTAACAGATTTCAAAAATGTAGAGATAGACCCACAAAGTTAACTGCGGTGAATTCTGACTTGTAGGCAGGCCTATGAGTGATTTTTATTTTTATGCTTTTCAGCACTTTCCACGTTTTTTAAAAGTTCTCCAAATGTTTTACACCTCTTGATATTTACTAGGTGAACTTTGTGGTTATTTACTAGATAAACCGTGAATAGTGATAAAACTTTTTTTTAAAAGTTTATCTCCATATTAAGGTAGCTGTTGATTTTGAAAATAAACTTGGATACTTATTTATAAAACTGAGCTAAAGTTGCAAAACCATTCGTACAGTTGGAACAAATGTGATTGTTTATTAACTGAAGGGCACCCGCGGGCGAGTGGGAGGGGAAGTACAAAGAAACCTGCTGCTCCCGGCCTGGGTGTCCAGCTGGCAGCCACTCAGAATATGTCATCACACTGGACCTGCCGACGGGACGGGCAGGAGGGGGCACAGAGCTGAGCGCCAGGCCAGGAGGTGATGGGCTCCGCCCATTATTTCAGGCCAGAGAGTCTGCGCCAGTGACATGCCAGCATCTCGGGAAGTTGATGTGGAAGGCGCTCACACAACTTCTGGATCTTAATCTGGACTTTCTGCATCCGTCTTGGCCAACAGAGCTGAGCGCCAGGCCAGGAGGTGACGGGCTCCGCCCATTATTTCAGGCCAGAGAGTCCGTGCCAGTGACATGCCAGCATCTCGGGAAGTTGATCTGGAAGGCGCTCGCACAACTTTTGGATCTTAATCTGGACTTTCTGCATCCGTCTTGGCCAGACTTCCGGCTGCAGCTGTCCCGTCTCCCTCTCCAGGTCAGCGTCGCAGGGTCCCAGGTGCCAGCGACCCCCCTCGGAGCCCTCAGACCCGAGCCTCCGCCATGGACAGGACGGCCGAGCTGCTCTTCTACGTGAACGGCCGCAAGGTGAGCGCGCCCGCGGGACTGGGCACCGGGCCCTGGGAACCGCAGGGAGGGCTCCCGCCGGGTACCGGGGCTAAGGGCACTCGCTCCTGCATGCAGGGGAGCACTGGCTGCCCCAGCTTGCGGTTTGCAAGTGGATTTGCCCGAGCGCCCCCACCCCCCGCCCAGGGGCAGGGAGAGCCTGAGTGTGTGGGGACAGCACCTTCCAGAAGTTCCTTTCCCCTCCCAGTCCAGGACGCACAGTTCCTTTCCCCTCCCAGTACCCGCCTCACCCCATAAACAAGAAGAGAAATAGCTATTCTTACTCTTGGAGGTCAGCACCCCCAACTCTTCCCTCCCTGAAACCCCTGGGAAAATGTCTTTCATAGACTGAAAACAGTCTATCAGGGCTGAGCCTCAGCTGGGGAGGAGGTGGAGGGGGGTGAGGCGGGAGAGAGGTGGATGAGCAGAGAGCAATTTAGAGTTGGGACAGGGCCATGGAGTTGAACTAGTTCAGACCACTCCCGACATTCCTCAGATAAGGAAATTCTAGTTCTGAAGTCACAGTTCCTGGCAGAGCTGAGTCCCTGCTGGGCTCTGGGGATTGGTCTTCAGGGGGTTCACAGCTGGTGTGGCAGCTGTCCCCTCAGAGCCTGGCTCACCCTGCAGAACCCGGCGGTTCCAGGCAGTGTCAAAGCCCCAAGGCACCCTTTAAAAACACTTCCCCGAGCTCCGACACACATACCATCACCTGCGCACTCTTAATGTTATCCCAGCATCTTGGCATCATTTTGCAAGGGGGAAACTGAGGCAGGAAGGGTAAGGGACTACCTGAAGAGCTGACCACCAAGCCGTGCTACTTGCATTCCCACGTGCCAGCGCCTTCAGAGCCACCTGCCACCCCTGCTTCTGCTCACAGATGCCACAGCACTTCCCCCACTGGTGCGAGGGACCCCCCAGGAAGCGGAGTGGGGTCAGGACCAGAGCCCTGAGCCTTTGTGGTTCTATGCTACTTTCCTTAAAGAGGACTGCTCCCTGCGCTCTAAGGCACAGGTTGTAGTTCCCATGAAGCCAGCCTCTGCCCCGCTGTCTGGTTTTCCAAGAGATAAGATGAGCTTGCTGTTCCCAATCTGTAGAGTAACATATGGCAATGGGAGGAAGTATGTCACTTTTTCTTCTTTGGCATAACTGAATGGTATATTAAGGGTAACTGGCCTTTTTATTTAAACAAGTAAGGGTTTGCCCTAGCTGGTTTGGCTCAGTGGATAGAGCATTGGCCTTCAGACTGAAGGGTCCCGGGTTCGATTCCGGTCAAGGGCACATGCCTGGGTTGCTGGCTCCATCCCGAGTAGGAGGCATGCAGCAGGCAGCCAATCAATGATTCTCTCTCATCATTGGTGTTTCTAATCTTTCTCTCCCTCTCTCTTCCTCTCTGACATCAACAAAAATATATTTAAAAAACAAAAACAGACTTGCCCATGAAAGGAAGCTTAGAAGCCAATTAGGAGATTCTCAGTGATGTGATTGGCCTCTGGTCTGTGGTTTTTGAGAAAGATTCTCAAAATTCCAAAGGTGTGGTTGAGCAGGGTCTAAGACCATTGCCATTGGTCTTAGTTGAGATTTAGTTGCAGAGAGATGTCTGAAGACTGCCTTGCTCTACCAGGGCCCCCAGAACAGGCGTCCAGTTAACATGGAGTTTAAGGGGCAGGAGCCCATGAGTGGATCATACCCTAAATGCCAGTCTCCAATACAACTCTGGAACCAAAGCAGTGAGGTGTAGAGATCACAGGTGTAGGCTTTGAAACTAGCTGGTCATGGGTTTGAATCCTGCCCTCTCTGCTCTGCCACTCAGCGGCTCTGAAGCCTCAAAAAGCTGTTAAATATCTCTGAGTCTCAGTTTTCCTCTCTGCAAAATGAACCCAATAACAATACATTCCTCCTCGGAATTGGGATGAAGATTAAAGTCCATGGAGAGTGGTTAGCAAGATACTTGGCACACAGTAAGCATGTGACAATGATTTTTAAGATCTGGACTGGAAAGTCATTGATTTCCTGTGTAGAGCCAGAACCTGCCCAGAAGTACCAAGGGGGCCAAAAGGTAGTCGAGCATTGTTTGCTCAACGAAGTGTACGGGCTTGATGTCAAGATAAGAATCTGGACAGAGCTGTCCTGGGGGTTTGGTTTACAGGGCTGGGAGAGGACATTTTGGGGCTGCTGAGATGGCTGTGATAATTCAAAGAAAAATGGAGGGGTTGGAGGTGGCTGCGGCAGGAAGAACCAAAAAGTAAAATGAATTTTAAAGCAACCTGAAGCTCAGGCAGAAGTCCTCCCTGGCTGTCCCCTCGAACCCCTGCCCTAATGCTGCTGAGGGTTATTGTTCTTCTCTACAAACAGTGTCCCACAATACATACCTCGTTCTCCCTCTTCTACTTGTCCACCTGTCCTTTCATACATACCCCTCTCCCTTTCTTAATCCATTCTTTCACCTCCTTTCTCTCTCCCCATAATCTCCCTTTTCTTTCTGCCTCTGTCTTGGACCTGGCAAGGCCCCTCAGCCTGGCCCAGAGGAACGTGGTTTCTCATCCTTGTGCAACGTGAACTTGAAAGCTCCCAGAGGGCTGGTGGAGATACAAAGGGACACACTCTGTTCTTGCAACACCCAAGGCTGCCCTGAGACGGGAATATGCATGACCCTGACCCCGTCAGTGAGGATAACTGTGCCTCATCCCCTCCCCACCCCCAGCCACTATCTTGGTCCTGACCTCCCTATTTAACGCCAAGACCTGCCAGGACAGGGTGCTTGCTAAATCCTTCCTCCCACCTCCATCCTCCAAACATGCCATCTACCAAATCAAGAAAAAGAAACATATTTAAAGCCAGTGGGCTTTGAGCCAGACTCTAATCTCTTGAAACATCTAGAACAAACAAGGCCTGCTGCTTCCATTAACTCTTTCCAAAAAATACAGTATGTCTCAAGCCTAAAATACTATTCTTTGCTCTCTGGTCTCCCCACATTATTTCTCTCCATTAAAAGTGGGCTTCTGTGGATTTGCCATCATATGTATTAATTAGGATTAGTTTCAGCTGCAAATGGCAACAAATTCCAAATTAACAGTGGTTCAAACAAGGTAAGTCATTTCTTTTATTTTTAAAGAAAGGATATCTGGGGATAGACACTGTGGAACTGGCCCAGAAGCTTTAGTGTCACCTTCTTTCTTTTTCCTCTGCTGCTGTTAATATGTTGCCTCGTGGTCTAAAAGGGCTGCTGGAGTTCTAGCCATTGCATCCCTATTCCAGGCAGCAGGAAGGAAGAAAGGGAGAATGCATGCTGGGTAGACAACCAACAGTTTCTGCCACCATTATTGGCACTTCTCTACTTGTCTTTCTTTTCTTCTGTCCAGATGTTCCAGCCTGTGAAAAATCACCCCTTCCTCCTCAGAGTTCTCCTAGCAAATTGTATATATCATGTTCCAGTGACTCATTTAATTTATTAGCATTTATTATATCACCAGCACCTAGCTCAGTGTTTGGCACAAAGAAGAACAGCAGAAGGTAGTTTCTCTCAGGGATCAAGAAAGACTTATACATCACAAGTAATTATGATGCAGGTAAAACATTCTGTGAGAGGTGTGTGGACATTGGCCACAGGAGCACAGAAGAGGATGGCTCCCTGAGCAGAGTGGGGAGGGGATAGTAGACAGTAGCACCCCAAAAAGGAGAGAGTATTTGAGCAGGGCTTTGAATGGCATACAGAATTCTGTCAAGTTAGAAGAATCAGAGGACTTCTGGGACAGAAGGAATTCTATCAGCACCTGTAGTGAAGGATAAAGGTCTGTGCACTGCTGGGATTGGCCGGCTCTTCCATGTGAGTGGACTTCAAGATACTTCAAGATGGGTTGAGTGGCTGGAGATGATGGGCAGTGTATCAAAGAGGCCTTTTAGGCTATTCTGAGAAGTTTGAATCTCTTCTTGTATTCCAGGTGGTTTTTTAAAAATATTTTTTTTATTGCTTTAAGAGAGGAAGGAAGAGGGAAAGAAAGATAGAAACATCAGTGATGAGAGAGAATCATTGATTGGCTGTCTCCTGCATGTGCCACACTGGGGATCGAGCCTGAAACCCAGGCATGTGCCCTGATTGGGAATTGAACTGTGACCTCCTGGTTTATGGGTCGATGTTCAACCACTGAGCAACACCAGCCAGGCATATCCAGGTACTCTTGAATGTAAATTCACCCAATACCCACTCAGTGTGCTCATTATAGATGCACATTTTCTGGTTCCCTCTCCCAGAAAGTCTGATTCCGTAGGGTTTCATTTTAACAAGTACCCTGAGTGACTGAGGAATTCACAGCATGGCAGTTTGGCAGCCGGGGGTGTGTGTTGAATTTAGGCAGATACAGGAGATGATCAGACTTGGATTTTAGGGAGGACACTCTGGCAGTGGTATAGAGGGTGACATCGCGGGAGCCAAGAATGGAGGCAGGAGGCCTGTTAGGGAGCTGTTATAATTGTTCAGGCAGGCAGTAATAAGGGCTGATTTCGGGGAATGGCTGTAGAAGTGAAAGGCGTTTAGAGAATCATTTTGGAAGTATACGTGGCAGGACTTGGCAACCCTGATTATGGCAGATCAAAAGAAAGGAAAAGTTTAAAATAGCTAAAAATTCTAATCTTAGATGACCTAGCAGATGGTGAGGCCATCAAATTAATTGGGGAAAATAAGTAAAATAAAGTTTTTCATTTGAGGGTCAATTTAGTTTGGCTTGCCTAGGGCGCTCCTCTGTATTACAGTATGTGTACACACACACACACACACACACACACACACACACACACACACACCACATCTTCCTTACTGTATACAGACTCTCTAGGACCTATATCTAAACTTGGTAATTGGCACATGTGTTTCTTTGCTGGGTGTGTGGCCACTTAAAATCAAGGGTAAGGAGGCATCCATAGAATAAGCATTGTCCTTTCCTCATCTACTTCCTGGAAGGGAACATTAGTGAAACAAGATGGAAGGGGAACTCTACTTCTGAACTTGTGGAGTAAGCGATGCTTTTATTTGTGAACCTAAGAGAAATCCACTTCTTTAATCAAAAGAGAGAGAACTTGATCACTTTGGAAAACATAACCAATTGTGACATTTCAATCATGCCACATCTGTGTGCTCTGTCCTACTGCTGTGCTGCTCACAGACTTGCTTCCCAGGGTGTCCTTGTGTTCCCATCTTTGTATCACTTGGCACACCCATGTTTAAAAAATATATTTCTTTATTGATTTCAGAGAGGAAGGGAGAGGGAGAGAGAGATAGAAACATCAATGATGAGAGAGAATCATTGATCGGCTGCCTTCTTCACCCCCCCAACTGGGGATCGAGCCCACAATCCAGGCATGTGCCCTTGGCCGGAATTGAACCTGGGACCCTTCAGCCTGCAGGCCAATGATCTATCCACTGAGCCAAACCAGCTAGGGCGGCACACACATTTTATCTTCTTCTTTGTTTTTGTTTTATTTGGGGGCAATGGTTGATTGTGATCTCCTTTTGGAAACTTGTTCTTTGAACATAATAAGCAAGTGAGTCTTAAAAAAACTATATCAATTTCTCAGAAGCTATTCTATTCCAGCAGCATATCTCTCTCTCTCTCTCTCTCTCTCTCTCTCTCTCTCTCTCTCTCCTGTCTCTCTCTTTCCCTCTCTCCATTCTTTTATACTAATATATTATCCGTTTTAGACTTTCTAGCAGAAGCTGGACAGAAGTCACTAGTGTTCCTACTAATAGAACCAACCACTGCCTTGGAGAACAGTGTACAGTGATGATTCAGGACCAAGGACAGTGACAAAGTGGCGATGGGGCCCAAGATTCAGACCTTACACTTAAGAGAGTTAATTAATGTGTGTTTCCATCAAATTAACATAAGCCTGTTATAACAAAAATGACACAAGCCCTCTCAAATGTGTGTGCCTAACTCTTATTTTCCTTCCGGTGCAGGTGATAGAAAAAAATGTTGATCCTGAAACAATGCTGTTACCATATCTGAGAAAGAAGCGTATCCTTTCCTTTGCTTTGTGCTTGTGTGTGTTTGGAGGTAGGGGTAGGGATGGGGGGTTCTGACAGCCTCATCAGGTGATATTTAAAATATCTTTTATAAAAAATATTTTTATTGATTTCAGAGAGGAAGACAGAGGGAGATAGAAACATCAATGATGAGAGACAATCATTGATTGGCCACCTCCTGCACACCCCCTACTGGGGACAGAGCCCGCAACACGGGCATGTGCCCTGACCCTCCTGGTTCATAGGTCGATGCTCAACCACTGAGCCATGCTGGCTGGGCTCAAATATCTTTTTAAAGCCATACTGAGTTATATATTCTCTACTATTGTGGTTTTATGTTCTTTGAGAAAGTCTTACATTGTAGTTTTGTAGGCAGTGCACAGTTAAGACTGTCAGAAGAACCAGCTTCTTTCCAATCTGTCTTGGCACTTACTATATTGTATAGATGGAGAAGCTAGCGATGGGAATGAAAACAATGGATGCTGAAAGGCTTAATTAAGCATCCTTTAGAATCAAGAGTCACAATATTGACATTCTGTCTTTGAGGACTAATCATCATGCCCATCAGAAAAAGAGAGCACAGAAATCTCCTGAAACGAAAGGAAAAGAACAATGGAGAAATCAAGCCTGAGAATGGTACCTTAGAAAAACTTTCTAAATAAGTCATCTGAGGAATGGATTCTTAGCCTTCTAGGCATGAACTCCAGTGGGCTCCCAGAGTTCTGTAGACCCCATTAAATTATATACAAAATTATGTGACAGTGGGAGTTGGTACATTTCTCTCTCCTGGAGAGAGTGAAATTCGCCAAAGAGTACACAACTCAAAAAGCATCAATAACTATCCTCTGGAAGTCATTTAAGATCTTGGGATGTAAAAACAATGAACACTGATTTCCTGGTTATCCATGGTACTAATGTGTAATATTTCATATTCAGTTCATTTGTGAGTGACAGAAAATCCCCAATAGCAATAAACAAGATAGAAAATAGACATGTATTCCTTTCTCATTGTATTAGTTCAGGTCCTCCGGGAAGCAGAGACTAAAAAAATGGGATTAAATATGCAAGAGTCTTATTAAATGAAATGCCAGAGTGAAAGGAAATGGGGAGGGAGCCAGTGACAACTGGAGGGTAGATTTCAGAGTGTGGCTGCTGGGCCTCTTGGTCAGTACCCTCCCTGTTGAAGTAGGTGTGTGAGGCACATTCTCATGGCTATCCTACTCCCATAGAGGCATCCCAAATGTAGGTATATCAGGCCTAGTAAAGCAGTGTCACAACGTAATCAGGGAACCAAGCTCCTTATATCTTGCCGTTCCCCCTCTCCCACCTCAGCATGCAGCTTTCTCCTCCTGGTCAGAGATGACTATTGAGGTCCAGCCATCATATCTGAATTCCAACAAATAGAAAGAAGTAAGGGATGAAGAAACAGGCACCCTTCTCCTTTTGAAAGGACATTTTCCTTCTGGAAGTCATATTGGCCACCATTGTTGATAACTCTATCTAGCTGCAGAGGAAGCTTGCAAAAATATTTTTTTTTATCCTGGGAAACCATGTGTGTAGCTAAAAATTGAGGATTTTATAACCGAGGAAGAAAGATATTGGGGAACAACCAATAGTTTCTGCCACCAAGAAGCAGAGAAATATGGCCAACATGGATAATGTAATAGAAATATTTCAAGAATTATTTACACGTTGACATTTTACTTTGTATGCCATCAAAGACACAGATGAGGTTGAGAACAAATGTACAATATACTCATACTTTCAAATATTTAAGCCCTTATGTATAAAGACTCTTCCTTTTCTTAGTTTGGCCCAATTTTTGGCAACCTGAGGCCCAGTTGTTTTTGAAAGGGAGGAAACTAGATATAATGCACAAATGAAAATTAAGAATTTACATCATTCTAAATAATAGCATCCATACAGCCATCATTTGGTAATTATGTATTAATTTAACTATATATATAAGTCTTTGGTAGTGTTGTCTCCTAAGATCAGTTCTATCTGGAAAGAGAATTATGAAAAACACGTTATCCTTAACTGTGCTTTTCCCAGTTCGACTCACAGGAACTAAGTATGGCTGTGGAGGGGGAGGCTGTGGTGCCTGCACAGTGATGATATCACGATATAACCCCGTTACCAAGAGGATAAGGTACCTGTCAGCAAAGTGCAGATATGGTTGATTTTTTGTAGTTTTGAACTTTGTTTTATTCCTTTAGTTGGTAAATATGCACTGAGCACCTACTATGTGACAGGAACTATGTTAGATATTGGAGACACAGTGACAAGACAAACATTATCCCAGGAATATGAATAGATTATTAAAAATGTGCCATCAATGAGGATAACATGTAGCCAAAGAATCCCCCATTGAAAGTTAAAAGGCTGTCTGACACCCTGTGCTGTCTGGGAGGAAAGGAGGGCTCAAATAGCAGGGGAGAATAATGCCATCATCACACTCTTATATCACTATTACGGCCTACTAATGATCCCCTTGCTCCCACCCTTGCCCCAATATATAGTACCTTCTTCATACATCACTCAGAGAGATGTGTTTCAAGTATAAATCAGATCACAACACAGCTTACTAATGATCCTCTTGCTCCCACCCTGCCCCAATATATAGTACCTTCTTCATACATCACTAAGAGAGATGTGTTTCAAGTATAAATCAGATCACAACACTCTCATACTTCAAAATCACCAATGGCTTACCATTATATTTAACATCTCTTTCTTGTTTGCCAAGTTTCTTGGATTTGTGGGTTGATGTCTTCTATCAGCTTTGGAAACTTCCCAAGTCATTATCTCTTCAAATATTTATTTTCTCTCTCCCTTCCCCCGCATCTCCAATTATGCACATATTACAGCATTTTACATCATTCCATAGATCTCAGATGAGGGCAAAGGATCTGAGCACTGGTGAGACTTCAGAGATCTGTCTGTGTTCCACAGCCAAGCCAACTTATCTGTATACATAGATATTGTCTATCTTCCCTCCACTAAACTATACACTCTATAAGGAAAGGGGTTTTATCCAATGAATCCTAGCATCTGGAACTGCCTGACACATGGTAGGCACTCAATAAATATTTAAATTTATTTATACATGAATAATATCCTTTTGATCTTTCATGTGTGCACATACAGAAGCATACTGCATATACTGTTTAGAAATCTGTATATTCTCATGAATATCTTTTGAAAGTAATAAATATAATTTTAACGGTTAGGTATGTTCCATTGCTGAGTGCACCAAAATCAATCCCCAAACACTTAGATTGTTTTCAGTTCTTCATTATTATAAGCAATGTGTCAATGATATATACATATATCTGTGACAGTCCATAGAGATGGAATTTCAGAGTAAAAGAGTGTGTATGTATCTGAAAAGTTTTTATGCCTTCCAGTGAAATGTCTCCCAGAAGAGCTCTATCAATTTACATTGTTATTCAACAGTACATGAGTTTCTTTTTTCCAAATTTTTGCTAATGATGCATATTACACTTTTGAAAAATATTTGTCATTTTCCTTGATTTAAAAAATGGTGTTTCTCATTGCTTAATTTGAATTTCTCTTGGTTATTTTGAAGTTGAACATATATTTCATGTGCTTATTGGTCATTTGTAGTTCTGTTTGGTAAATGAGAACATTTTAGTTGTCATTTTTGAGTTGGACATTTCCAAGCTGTAGGTTTTGTGGGATTGAGGAGTTCTGTATCTCACACCCTATTTCTTCTGAAGCACAATTTCAAATTCACTGTATTCCCCAACCAACCCCTGGCTCAGCACCTGCCCAGAAGATGGAATATGCTCTAGCTCAGTGGTTCTCAACCTGTGGGTCGTGACCCCTTTGGCAGTCAAACGACCCTTTCACAAGGGTCGCCTAAGACCATCCTGCATATCAGATATTTACATTACGATTCATAACAGTAGCAACATTACAGTTATGAATTAGCAACAAAAATAATTTTATGGTTGGATCACAACATGAGGAACTGTATTTAAAGGGCCAGAAGGTTGAGAACCACTGCTCTAGCTGATTAATCGCAGGTGACTACAGAGGAGAATGTCAGCCCCTCATCCATGAGAAAAACAACAAAAGTGAGTGGGACCTGTTCTGGAGTCAGAATTTGGAGGTCTAATGAATCCTGTCTCTGGCGCTCCAGCTGTGTCCCCAAGCAAGCCACTCTGACCCTCAGATTCTACTTTTGTAAAATGAATGTGAGCTACGGATAAAATGTATACGCAAATAGAGCCTGGAACATTCTTCCAAACTTTCCACATTGGAGGTTCTCAGTGAATGTTCAGTCCCCTTCCCCATTGGCTACGATTAATCTGTGCTTTTCTTTTGCATTCTGAAGACATTACCCAGCCAACGCCTGTCTGATGCCCATCTGTTCTGTGTATGGCGCTGCCGTCACCACAGTGGAAGGCATAGGCAGCACCAGGACCAGGATTCACCCAGTTCAGGTGAGGGTGGGCCTCTTCAGGGGATTTCTGGGCTTTGAAAACCATTAATGTCATGATGAGCCCCTGAGATTAATACAGTCGAGCAGCCTGGGTCCTCCTGCTTGGTCAGCCGACAGATGAAATCCAGCTGGGGACCAGGAGGGGAACCTGGGCCACATGGATGTTTTGTGCCTGATGTTTTTCCGAAGACTAGAGGACTTGGTTAAAAACAAACAGACACTGACCTCACTGGGTTGTTTTTTTAAAAGATATTTTTATTTATTTATTTATTTATTTATTTATTTATTTATTATTAAATTTATTGGGGTGACATTGGTTCATAGGTTTCAGGTATACATTTCCATGATACACGATCTTTATATTACGTTGTGTGCCCACCACACAAAGTCAAATCATCTCCCTTCAATATATTTGGCCCTTTTTACCCTGAGACTCATCAGTCTGTTTTCTATGTTCTAATTAAATGGCACCTATCCACTATCCGCTTTGCATCTTCCAACCTTACAAAGAAACAAGAGCTCTGTGCATTGAGGAATATAATTTTATTGTTTTTTTATAAAGTGGAAAACAACATGATTTTAAAGCTGAATGACCATCTCAGCTACCAAAAAGATTTAAGTGTGGGATTTGTTCAGAAGACAGGTGATAGGAATTGTCAATGAATTTGGAGGTTTTTTTCTCCTAAGGCAGCACCTTCTTAGAACTTTGCCTCAAGTGAAAGGGCACCTCTGACTCCTGAGTCTTTTGGTTATTTATGCATTTGCCACAAAAATGCTGGTACTACATGTTTTTCTCTAAGTTGATAAAGGTCACTTATGAGGAGAGGGCTGAAGAGGGGAAAGATTGAGGTGACAAAGAAAATGGCCAAACTTCAAATTCTCAGGATTTGAAGGAATCGTGAGTTCTGTTTATGTTCTATGAAACCCCAATACCTAGAGGGCGTGAATTCTGCCTGGACACCCTGGTGAGACTTCCCTATTCACAGGCATGACAACACTTTCATTTAGTCACTGCTGTTCCTCTCCTGGTTGCAATGAAGCCAGAAGACAGCTTCCAAAAGGAGGCTGCAACTTTGACGTTAGATTCCAAGGAGAACATGCTGGGGGCGGGAAAGGGTTGGAAGGAAAATAAAAGCAATACTTCCTTCTTGATTGCTTTCAGGATCAATAATGGTGCTTTGTAAACAAACTTCTCTGTGCCAAAGTATTAGGGCAGTAGTGGGCAGGAAATACTTGGAGGTTTGTTTGTTGTTGTTTGTTTTTCCCCCTCAACGTGGGTATAATTCAGTTCATTTTCTGAAAGACTTCCAGGAAGTAACCTTGGAATCACTTTATCTCAGTGATTCCCATTCGGGACTACAAATTGAAACCACTTGGGAATCTTTATTATTATTATTATTATTATTATTAAATATATTCTTATTGATTTTAGAGAGGAATGGAGAGGGAGAGATAGAAACATTAATGATGAGAGAGAATCATTGATCGACTGCCTCCTACACGACCCCTACTGGGGATGAAGCCCACAACCCAAGCATGTGCCCTGACTGGGAATCAAACCATGATCTCCTGGTTCATAGGTCGATGCTCAACCACTGAGCCACACCAGACGGGCAACCTGGGAAGCTTTATATGTCTGTGTCACACCCCTGGGGATTCTCAGTCAGTTGATCTTGGGTGCTGCTTTTGGACATTTTTAAACTCCCCTGTTGATTCTGAAAGCTGAGAACCTTGAATGAAGCTCAAAAGCTGGTGAAGACCAGTATTCCTGGCCACTCAGCCTAAGAAAGGGAGACCCCTAGGATGAGAAGGATCTCCTGGGGCCTCTTCTCCAACCCCAATGTGCGTACGATTCGCCTGGGGCTCCTGTCAAAAGGCAGGTGTGATTCAGTAGGTCTGGGGTGGGGCCCCAGATTCTGCATGTCCATACCTCCTGTGCCTCCAGGAGAGGATCGCCAGGTGCCACGGCACGCAGTGTGGCTTCTGCACCCCTGGGATGGTGATGTCCATCTACACGCTGCTGAGGAACCACCCGGATCCCACCCTGGACCAGTTAACTGATGCCCTGGGTGGTAGGTTATATGTGTGTGTGCTTCCGTTTTTGAATAATGATGATGATGATGAACACTAATGTTGGACACCTGCCATGTGCCACACGCTGTATTAAATGCTATGTAAAGATGATCTCATTTGCTCTTTGCAGTAACTTTATATATCAACCAAATATCCCAAGTTGCTGATAAAAAACTCTGACTTTGTAGATTAGGTGCACTGAAATGTCAAATAGACTTTTTTGTAGGATGGGGGCCTTATTGCCATCATGATTGGCAGTCTGTGCCTCTCTTTAGGTTCCTTGATTGACAGAGCTGGGTGTTTCTCCTTTAGGTAACCTGTGCCGTTGCACTGGATACAGGCCCATCATTGATGCATGCAAGACTTTCTGTAACGTGAGTAGAAAGGAACATATTAGTAAGTGTATTTTTTCCCAATGAAACAGAACAGTAGGGGTTGTGAGGTGTGACTTGGGGAATAGCCATTTGTACTGATTCAGGGCTACTTTTTATCTCAAAGCCTATAACGGTGTTATCTGATCTTGGGCACGGTGCTTACCCTCGTTCACTGGCCTGGCCCTGCTACTCACGTAGTGAGCACTAAGCACTTTGATGTTGGCTGTGGTCATTGTTCCTGACCTGTTTGCCTGACTCGGATACCCCGCCATGGTGCTCCTGCAGCCCCCTGTGCATGCCCCTGTCACAGCGTTGGTCACATGATGGGGCAGTTGCCCATTTGCTCTTCTGCCTGTTCATCAGACTTTGGTCTGCCTGACAGTAGAGGCCATGTGTCTCCAAACTGGACACCATTCACCGAGTGAGTGACCACTCAATCATTGTTTGTTGAATGAATAAATGAACAAATGACCTTAAAATGAGGGACATAAGATTGCCCTTTGGAAGTTAAACTATGACATCAGTACATCATAAATAAGGTCAGAGTGATAATAATGCTTGTTAACATTTTTATTAATAAAATAAAAAATATTACTATTAAAAACCATTGTTAATACTTATTGCTATGTGCCAGACTTTGTTATACGATCTTTAAATTATGGTGACAATAGTTAATAATACTGTGTTGTGTGTTTGAGATTTGCTAAGAGGCTTGACCTTAAGTGTTCTCACCACACACACACAATGGTAATTATGTGTGATAATAAGTGTGTTAATTAACTGACTGTGATAATCATTTAACAAAATATACATATATCAAATCATCACATTGTATACTTTAAATGTATACAATTTTATTTATTAATTATACGTCAAGAAAGCTGAAAAAATTCTTAGTAGAATCAGCAATAAATTCTCCGTTATTTGTTTTTCACCCCCTAGACTTCTGGCTGCTGCCAAAGTAAGGAGAATGGGGTTTGCTGTCTGAATCAAGGGATAAACGGATTCCCAGAACTTGAGGAAGGAAATAAGGTCAGTGACATGTGCATTTTTTATAAGGGTTTCTCAGGACCTGGCCAGAGACCAGCTGACTTTTAGGAAGGATAGACAGCTGCCTGAGTTAAATTAATTGGAGGTGTGTCAGCATGTCCCCCTCTCCCATTCTCACTCCGTCTCTGCCATGTGCACACACAAATCTATCCTGACAACTGCATTCCTCATCCCAGATGTTACTCTCATTCAAAGCACAGCGATCTGTAGGAGAGAAAGCACATTGATATCTCAGTGTTTCTTAGTCTTTTTTTTTTAAAAAGATATTTTTATTGATTTCAGAGAGGAAGGGAGAGGGAGAGAAGGATAGAAACATCAATGATGAGAGAGAATCATCGATCAGCTGCCTCTTGCACGTTCCCCACTGGGGACTGAGCCCACAACCCAGGCATGTACCCTGACTGGGAATCGAGCTGTGACCTCCACACCAGCCAGGCTCTTTCTTAGTCTTAAAAAAGCCTCCTTCAAGTCTTTTTTCAAGAATGAGAAGCAAAGTGGAGATGTCAGGGTGATGAAAGAACGGGTGGCGATTCAGGGAGATATTCTTGGTCTCAGCTGCGACCTCTGCTTCCCCGAACTCCAGGTGAACACGCAGCAGGTGCAGGGCCTGGGGGCTCCCCACCACCCACGCTGATTGCTAAGGACCAGGTCTGTGTCAGAGCCCTTGACTCAGAGCCCAGGGACTGTGGCTGGCCAGCTGCTTTCTGGTGTGTGTGTGCTGTGTGTCTGTTTTCTTCTGAGCTCATTCCACAAAGGATTGAAAGTACTGTTGTTCGAGTTGATGGATGACAGTTACTTATTGTACTTTCTCTTTTTAAGACAAGTTCAAAACTCTTCTCAGAAGAGGAGTTTCTGCCACTGGATCCAACTCAGGAATTGATTTTTCCTCCTGAGCTAATGGTAAGTGAAGGCAGCGCTGGCTTCGTCCTAGAGGAGTTCATGGTGAAATGGCAGGAAGGGTGTTTGCTGATGGATCCTCTCAAAGGCTGTTCGGCAACCAGGTAATATCCATCTGTCGTCCTCCACTCAAGGTCTAAAGAGCGTGGGACTGATGCAGAGAGGGGGGAGCAAGGGGGGGGGATCGCCTGGAGGAGACAGTGACTGTAAGAAGCAGCAGTTAGTGTCCATAAAAAATGCTATGAAATGACATCACAACATTTGTGGACGTAGACATGTTTTCTACTTCCAGCAGAAAACCAAGTTTATTCCTCCATAGAATGTTGTGACAAAATTAAGCATGATGAAACCTCTGTGAACATTGAAATGAATTCCTTTAAGATATAAAAGCACCAAAAGGAGACACTGGAACAGATTCCAGAAGGAGTAAAATATTGCCCATTTTTATTCTGATTCCTAGTGAGGCTGTACTTTTAGGTCATTTTTATTTATTTATTTTTAAATCTCCATTTTCTTTCCCTGTTTATATGAAGATGGAGCAAACCCAGGTGGAAACATGGTCATAAAGTAACCTCAAATCCCTACTGGTTTTTCACCAGATAATGGCTGAGAAACAACCACCCAGGACCAGGGTTTTTGCTGGCGAGAGAATGACGTGGATTTCCCCAGTGACCCTGAAGGAACTTCTGGAGGCTAAAGCCAAGTACCCCCAGGCCCCTGTCATCATGGGGAACACCTCTACGGGTATGCAGAACCCTGGGGACTTCTTACGGGGAAACCTAGGGAAAGTGCTTTGGGGAAAAGAACCTCAAATATGCGCGTCTCAGGAGAAGCAGCCGGATTGAGTCTTGGCTTCCCCGGCATTGCTCACAAGACTCTCACAGCTTCCTGACATAAGTGATTCCTATTGTCCCTGTTGGGAGCCGTGTACAGAGCTGCACCAGGTTGTGGGGGGCGGCGGGGAGGGCTGCTTCCTAGCAAAGCAGGAGCAGCAGTTCCAGGGACGGCCGTCCTGTCCTTGTTCCCTGTGGAGGCCGATCTGGGCTCGTGTCTGAAACGGCTCTGCTTCCTCTCAGAGGTGTCTCAGTGGGTATCCGCTGCAGTTACGGGGTCCTCCTACTGTCCGCTCTGTAAACTCAGCTTGACCGCCTGCTTCTTTGAGGAGGCTCCCAGGGTCCTCCCAAGGGATTGTTAAAAATATACTTTTATTGATTTCAGAGAGGAAAGGGGAGAGAGAGAGAAACATCAATGATGAGCCTGGCTGGTATGGTTCAGTGGTTGAGCATTGACCTATGAACCTGGAGATCACGGTTTGTTTCCGGTCAGAGCACATGCCCGGATTGCGGGCTCAATCCCCAGTAAGGGGGTATGCAGGAGGCAGCAGATCAATGATTCTCTCTCATCATTGATGTTTCTCTTTCCCTCTCCCTTCCTCTCTGAAATCGATAAAAATATTTTAAGAAAAGAAACATCAAAGATGAGAGAGAATCATCGATCTGCTGCCTCCTGCACACTCTACACTGGGAATCGACCCCACAACCAAGGCTGTGCCCTGACCAGAAACAAAAACTGTGACCTCCCGGTCCATAGGTCAGTGCTCAACCCCTGAGCAACACTGGCCGGGCCCAAAGGGAATTTTGAATTGCCACACGTTGTCTTGGATTCATCAGCCAAGTTTTCAGGCTGACAATGCAAAGGGTCCCCCGTGCAGTGAAGATTCAGCTGGCTGTTCTCTGTGTGTGTGTGATTTGGCCATGAACAGACCAGTAGGAGGATATGTAGTTTTTATACATTTAAAGTCATCAGTTTGAATCCCAATTTCAAAATTAACAAGGCGGTTACCCCTTTATCCTAGTCTTCCTCTTTTTTTTTTAATCCTTTAGGGCCCGAAGTGAAATTTAAAGGTGTCTTTCACCCAGTTATCATTTCTCCCGATAGAATTGAAGAACTGAATGTTGTAAACTCTGCAAATAATGGTGAGTTCCGAAGGTCTCTGTTTTCTTAGTTAAAATGAATGAATCAATTTATTTTCTTTGCCCCGCAGATAATGAGAAAAAGAATTACTCCAAAATATAACAGACAGAGAGATTCTCTTCTTATAAGGTTAACATTCTGGAGGAGGCTCAGGGAAGAATTCTCTGTAATTTTATGAGCTACTAATAGTCTGAATAGTCAGCTTTTCATCGAGGAACTTTCTGTGTGTGCCATATCGGAGAAACGTAACGACTCTTCCACAAAGGGCGCTGTGTAAGTGCTGGGCAGAAGACAGAGAGGAGTGAACACAGTCTTTGCCTCCAGAAGCACAGGAGTAAGCAGAGCAAGTTTATGCATTAAGCAGCTGACAGATTCTTTTCAGTCTGATACAGGAAATTGATTTAATGGCAAGGGTATAAATGAGAATTTGAAGCCTGACTGTGGAGTCTAATTCTTGACTATCTATATCTATAATAATAAAAGCGTAATATGCAAATGGACCGAACAGCCATCTGGATGACCTTCTGGACGAAGCCGGGGCTGCAGCTGTGGGATTGAGGCAGCTGCCGCGGCTGCAAAGGCCTACTCTTGCATGAATTTCATGCATCAGGCCTCTAGTGTCATATGTTAGCTGTAAAAAACTAGTCAAGTTCTTAACTGAGTCTCAGTTTCTTGGTCTGTGAAATAGGGCTAATGACATCTCAAAGCCTTGCTAGGGTGCAAGGCGATTCTGTGGAGCATTCAATGGAGCACTTGACACAGCGAGTGCGCAAAACGTTTAGCCGCCTTCACAGCCATCATCACCAACACCACTTCTGTCACCATCACAGGGCAGGGCAGCACGATGCAGCATGAAGGTCCTGTATCCGTAACCTGAAATCGAATTGACATCCCCGGCCAGCAGCGATCACACTGCATGACTTACAAATGGTTTCATTTCAGGGCTCACCTTAGGTGCCGGCCTCAGCCTGGCTCAGGTGAAGGACACCCTGGCTGCTGTGGTCCTAAAGCTTCCCGAGGAGAGGACACAAACATACCGCGCTCTCCTGAAGCAGCTGGGAACTCTGGCCGGAGCCCAGATCCGGAACATGGCTGTATGTATGCGGTGACAGTAAACTGGTGTGTGCCCCTTGCATGGCTGTCCCCACCCGACAAATCAGAACATTGTCACTCTTGTGGGACAGGCCGAAAGAATAGTTCTCCAAAGCCTTGCTTGATTCTTATTTGATCACTTGTGTTTCGATGATTGTACAACTGGCGTGAGAATGACTCATTGTTTTAAACAGTCTCTAGGGGGCCACATCGTGAGCAGGCATGTAGATTCCGATCTAAATCCCCTCCTGGCTGTGGGCGGCTGCACCCTCAACTTGCTATCGAAAGGTAGGTGACAGCTCCTTCGGAGGGTGATGAAATCGGCTCCTTCTACCCTTTGTTTCTCTGGGTGCAGGAAGCCCAGTTTTGAAAGTGACTCCCCTTTAGACTATTAATAACTCTCTCTGCCTTTCTGGAGGCTGGAAAGGTGGCCAGTCTGGTCCTAATTCTATGCACTTCCTGCGTCTCCCTCTCTTTCTTTTTGGGGACTAGTGCTAGATATTTTCCCATCCTGGTCACCCGGCACTGGCCACACCTGGTGGTGTCCGGATGTGACCCGAGCGTGGAGAGACTACAGGCTGTTGAGAACGACTGTTGAAGACTTCCCCCAGGGGTTCAGAAGCGTGGTGGCTCCCACATCGTGCGGTGGGCTCATACTTAATTTGTCGTGAATGGAAGCCTCCAGACCTTTTTCTGTTGAACGACGGTTTGGCTTAATTCTGTATTTATTTACTTGACTTTTGGTTTTGAAACTAAGTTCAGGACTTTTAATTTATTTCTCTTATGCTAACATAGTCAACAATTATTGAGAAATTCCAATTGGTCCTCTATAAATCTCTTTTTAAAATTTAAAAATATGGACTAGCTTTCTATTATCTTCATTGTCAAAGAACTACTCTTCATATCACTAAAACCACAAAATTATCCTAAGGAGGAAGATTTGCATTCAGAATTATCAATTTATGTAACATCCCTTTTAAAAAATCATATAGTGAGAAAGAGATTTGTGATGTGAATATAAAAATCAGAAGCTTCTTAGCTTTCATCCCAGCATCATATTTCATTATAGCTTTAAACAGCTTCTCCCTCAAATATATTGATTAAAAAACAGGAGTTTCTTTAGGTGCTGGAAAAAGATATAAACAAAAAGAATATCAGATCACTAATATAAGATTTCATTGAAGGCAATTTATTTATTGACCACTGAACCTACTAGGGGTCCCAATGATAAACAATAAATGTTTGTTGAATAACTTGATTGGAATATCAAAAGGGGCATTAATATCCATTCCCTATTTACAAAGCCCAAAATGGATTATGCTGTTCAGGAAGGGGACCAAGGTCCTGTTCTTCCTGACCTCTGGGCTATTCTGCTAGATATTTTTATTTATAAGCCAAGGAGGGAAGGAAGGAAGGAAGGAAGGAAGGAAGGGAAAGAGAGGAGGGAGGGAGGGGAGGGGGGGGGGGAGGGAGGGAGGGGAGGAGGGAGGAGGGAGGAAGGGAAGGAAAGAAAGGAAGGAAAGGAAGGAAGGAAGGAAGGAAGAAAAGGTGGAATCTAGATTCAAAGAAATGTTGCAAAATGCCATTATAAGGTGAAAGATTTGTTAATGGTAAGAAGATCACTCCTTTTCCCAGTTTCCTCAGATATTTGGTAGAATTATTGCCTAAGTTTTGGGAGTTTGATCGTTTAATAGTACAGATTCCAGGGAAAGTGTCATTTCTTTCACAGAAGGGGCACGGCAGATTCCTGTAAACGAGCAGTTTCTCAGGAAGTGCCCGAGTGCGGACCTCAAGCCTGAAGAAATCTTGATCTCCGTGAACATCCCCTACTCCAGGAAGGTGAGACTGCCCTTCTGTTCCCCGGTTTTCCTGTGAGCCCGAAGCTGTTAACTCTGGCACGCAGTGGGTTAGGGGGAGGTGCGCAGTGTTTACAGGTGAGATTATGAGGACTTGTGCACCCAGTAGTCTCCCCTTATCTACGGGGTCACTTCCGCAGTTTTAGTTACCCATAGTCAACTGTGGTCCGAAAATATTAAATGGAAAATTCCAGAAATGAACAACCACAAGTTGTAAATTGCACGTTGTTCTGAGTAGCATGATGAAATCTTGAGCCATCTCACTCTGTCCTGCCCAGGTGGCGAGTCAGCCCTTTGTCCAGCGTCTCCACACTGGATATGCTCCCCGCCTGTTAGTCACTTAGTGGCCATTTGGTTATCTGATCGCCTGTTGTGGTGTCACAGTGCTTGTGTTCAAGTCGCCCTTATTTTACTTTATACTGGGCCCAAAGCCCAACAGTGGTGATGCTGGCACTGTGGATATGCCAAAGAAGCCATGCGGTGCTTCTTTTAAGTGAAAAGGTAGAAGTTCTTGACTTAAGGGAAGAAAAATAAAATCCTATGCTGAGGCCCTAGCCGGTTTGGCTCAGTGGATAGAGTGTTGGCCTGCAAACTGAAAGGTCCCAAGTTTGATTTGGTCAAGGGCACATGCCCAGGTGGGCTCGATCAGTGGGGGACTTGCGGGAAGCAGCTGATCCATGATTCTCTCTCATCATGGATGTTTCTATCTCTCTCTCCCTTTTCCTTCCTCTCTGAAATCAATAAAGATATATTTAAAAAAAAAATCCTATGCTGAGGTAGCTAAAATCTCCAGTGACTACTGTAGTTGCTTTTTATTTGTGTTATGCAATCGTCTGTCACTCCTGAATCAGGAGACCTTTGTCTCTGTCCTCTCTCTAACTTTCCCACTACCCCAAACTCTAAAGTTACTTTCTTACTAATTTTTTAAAAAAATATTTGTGGCCGAAACCGGTTTGGCTCAGTGGATAGAGCGTTGGCCTGCGGACTGGAAGGTCCCAGGTTCGATTCCGGTCAAGGGCATGTACCTGGGTTGCGGGCACATCCCCAGTAGGAGATGTACAGGAGGCGGCTGATCGATGTTTCTCTCTCATCGATGTTTCTGACTCTCTATCTCTGCTACCCCAAACTCTAAAGTTACTTTCTTACTAATTTTAAAAAAAATATTTGTGCCAGGAGGGTTTTCCCTCAATAAAGCTTGAAAATATATCTCTACCTAAATCTGGGGGTTTGGAGGACGTTTAAAAATTACACTTGCAATAGAACATAGGGGGAAAAGGTCTTTGGAGTTAGACTCAAGTAGAATCCTCTTTAAGACCTGCTGTGACCCTGAACTGATTGCAGACTCACTCCGAGCCTTAGAGTCCCTATAAAAAGGGAATAACTGAGCCCGCCCTGGAGAGTGCGTTAATCTGCTCGGGCTGCCATCACATAGCACCACAGACTGGCTGCCTTAAGCAACAGGCATTTATTCTCACACGGCTCTGGAGGCTAGAAATGTGAGGTCAAGGTGTCAGCAGGGCTAGTTTCTTCTGAGCCATCTCACTCTGTCCTGGCTTGTAGATGGCCATCTTCTCCTGCGTCTTCACATGGTCTTTCCTTTGTCGTATATGCGTCCAAATTTTCTTTTCTGATGAGGACACCACCCTGTTGGGTTAGTGTTCACCCTACTTGCCTCATTTTAACCGAGTTGCCTCTTTAAAGATCCTGTCTCCAAATGTAGTCATGTTCCAGGTCCTGGGAGCGAGGACTTAAATGCCTCAACTCAGGGAGGACACAGTTCAGTCTAACAGAGTGTGGCAAGGATATGTAAGGCAAAACTGCCTAGAAACTCAGTGTGTTTCTACATACACCACTTCACTTTGGCTTCCAGTGGGAATTTGTGTCGGCCTTCCGACAAGCCCAGCGGCCGCAGAACGCACTCGCGATAGTCAACTCAGGAATGAGAGTCTTTTTTGGAGAAGGGGACGGCATCATCAGAGAGTTCTCCATCTCGTATGGAGGCGTCGGCCCAACCACCATCTGCGCACAGAATTCCTGCCAGAAACTCATTGGAAGGTACGGCATCATGTCCCTAGACCCCAAGTAACAGAGCAGCTCTTTTTTTGATAACATGAAATTGTAAGAAGCAACATGCTTACTACATTTTTATTTAGTGGTATAGAATTCCAATGTGATTTTATAATTATTTCCATAGCTCTTGATTTTAGTGAATTCTGAAGTGAGAATCATATAGTCTGTGTGTGTGTGTGTGTGTGTGTGTGTGTGAGAGAGAGAGAAAGAGAGAGAGAGAGACCATATCCCAGTAGCACATAGATTCAGTAAGCAAAATGAGTACATTATTCTTTATTGAGAGAATAATTTACTATGATGAAAAACAGATTATGGCAGTTTGTTTTATAAAAATTGCTAAATGCATTTGCTTACCTGACTTTTTATATCTTTAGGTGATACTAGTAGCCAATATTTCTTGAATACTTCCAGGTATCAATTATCATTTCCTAATAGTTAAAAACATGAGCTCAATTGAGCCAAATTGCTTGGGTCCGAATCTCAGTTCACCCCCTATTAATTATGTGATCTCAGTCAGTTTACTTAACATTACCATACCTCAATTTCCCTGTGTCAAAAGGCAACAATCACCCCCACCACACAGGACACTTGAGGGGATTAAATGCATGACTACATATAAGATGCTTAAAACCAAAACCTGTCTTACAGTCAACATTCTAGTGATACAGGAATGTGTTGCTCCTGGGCAACAGGTTGTCATTTCTTCCTCGTGACCATTCCACGAGGTGGATCCTACTATTATTTCCCTATTACAAATGACGAAGAGGGGCCTGGGCCAGACGCCTTGAGAGTGCTGCACTGTGGTTTGAATGTGGGTTGCCCGACTTCGAAGCTTGTACTCTTGTTCCCTGCACTAGATTGTGGCTATTTGTCTCGCACACTAGCTGAGCCTATGAGATAAGGAGTCCTCTTTCTGACCCTCACAGGCCCTGGAATGAAGAGATGCTGGACGCAGCTTGCAGGCTGGTCCTGGATGAAGTCTCCCTCCCAGGCTCAGCTCCGGGCGGGAAGGTGGAGTTCAAGAGGACTCTCATCATCAGCTTCCTCTTCAAGTTCTACCTGGAAGTGTCGCAGCTTCTAAGGAGGATGGTAAATGAACTGACCATGTATTTCCCAGCTTTAGGGGCCATGGGGATACCCAAAGTGGAGGCAGCAACCCCCTGACCAATGGCTGTAGAACAGGAAAGACAACCCAGATTAGAAACGCGTGGGCTCGCTGGGCCTGCTCCAGGCTGCCTGTTGATGGCTTGTAGTTTGGGGAAGAGTTGCAAGTAGAGCACGGAGTTGTGCAGGATTGTGTTTAACACCACTGGGTTCTTTTGTTTCCGATCCATTGTTTGTCTAGGTGGTGTGCAGAAAACTCGTTTATGACTTAAATATACTTTCCCTCAGTAAAGCACTTCTTCCACCGGTTGGGGGTTACCTTCATGTGTTTGGCCTTCTCTGGTTCACCTTCATTTCTCTCACCCGTAATCTGATGATGGCAGCCATTCCATAAGGTCATTGTGAAATGGGCCATCATAGGAACAGGGCTGACTATAGTCCCTATTCAGCCCAGGGCTTTAGAGGAACATGATGAAAACTGCCTAGTACTAGTCTCAATAAGAGCAGTAATCATCCAGGCATTCTTTGCCTGGTCTCCCTTTTGACAGACTTTTAGTTAAAAGATTGTTGGCAAGGGAGGGCACAACTAAAAGAATTTCTCTGAATGAATTTGCTGGGCCCAAAGGGAACTTGAGCCATATTGGCCTCATTAATCCCACACTACAACCAACTGACCAGAAGCCAAGCACATCCTTTCTGTGGTATAGAAATTAGTATGAGCACATTAAGTGAGAGGCACAATGTTCTCTCTTCTCATTGCTTCTGGGGATATCTTCTCATTATATAGAGGAACAACTAAGAACCAAAACAGTTGTATCAAAATTTTGAGAACAAAAGCTTGAAATCATAGATAAGTGACATATTACCACCAGGTAATCACAAGAGAAAAAAAATAAAGCCAATTGTAGACTCCTCCTGCCTTATAGTCTCATACTTTCAATTCAACTTCCTCTATTCAGTATCCCTCTACTATTAAAAATAATAGTCTACTATTTAAAAAACTAATGTGAAATATAACTATTAGGTGTATTGTTCAAAGCCTTAGATAATGACCCAAATGACCCATTTCCCTTGGTTTTAAGGAGCGTTCCTCCTGGGACCCTGCAATGATTCCTCAGAGGGGCGACAGCTGCGTGGGCTTCTGTGTTGTCCTTTCTCTCGGAGAGTTGGCGAGTTGGCTGGCGGTGCAGAGTTTTAAGCACATTGCTGTGGAGTGCTTTGACTCTTGCTCCTGGATTAAGCATTCTACCCCTTTCCGTTGTATTTATTTAGCTTTTATCTTCCTGCGCTCTTGGTGCCTGAGGCCCAAACCTGTGAGAGAGCCATAGGAGACAGAGCTGTTGGAAGGCAGTGGCCTACTAGGTCCACTTGGCTCTTCAGTATGGACCGTCCAGGACGTGTGGCCCGGAGGCCAGGAGCTGCTGTATTTCCAGGGCTCTGACGGGCGAGTCCTCTGCAAATGTTAGACTTCAGATTAGAGCTGCTGGTTAAGGACCACGCTAGCCTCCCTTCGGAGGCCACTTGGGCACATATTACATATCCACGCTGGTTCTACTTTTCAGGACCCTGTTCACTATCCTAGCCTTGCAGACAAGCATGAGAGTGCTCTAGAAGACTTTCATCCTAGGCATCGCCAGAGTGCACTGAAGTACCAGGTAAGTGGCTTTTTTTTTTTTTTTTTTTTTTTTTTTTTAAGGGCCTGGCTGTAATTCCTTCACGCAGACCCACTGAACAAGCCCAGTAAGCCAAGCTCCCCTCTGGTGAATTCACAGCCTTCTTTTCTGTTCATTAAAGTTTCAAAATCAATGAAGAATTGTGACTGAAAACCAAGCTACCAATGGCCATTTTTTTTTTTAAATGTCTGCTTTGATCTTGAAGGCGGTGTGTTTGGCTCTGTGGCCTTGTGCCGCCATGTGCGTGAGCTGCTGGCTCGCCACATGCTTCTGCCCGTGGCAGCGTGGAAGTCAGAGCCCCACAGCCTCATTCTGTGTCAGGGCCCTGGGGCCGCTTTGCTTTGATTTCCAGAGGAGCAGAACACACAAGCCCTGGGCGTTGATGACACGCAGTATTGCTTTTTAAAAGAGCTGCTGATTTATTTTGTTTCGATGTGAATCTACTTTGCTCCCCATCCCCATTCACCCAGTGGGTTTTCTGTGAGTTACGTTTTAGAGTTGGATCAAACGTAAGTTCTAAGGGCTGTTTCTAGCTCCCCTAATGAAAGCTGACTATCAGGGAGAACAGAGTCCCTCAGACATTTCAAATGGTATTTTCTGCCACAACATCATAAAAATGTCACCTGCAGTCATCCCATTGGTAAACTCGATAAGACTCCATGTGTTTTTCCTTGGAATTATTATTAAGAAACTTCACCTGGAAGGTTTTATTAAGTCAAGAGCATTGAATATGTTGTTGGATTTAGTTATAAAAGCTTACAGTATGTTGCAATGAATATTGAAGTTGGTGTATACCCTTCAGGGTTTAAGTTTAATATGTTCAAAAATTCAAATACACCATACTCCATTGAAAGTGATTATTTTGACTGTTAAAAACAGCTGCCCCCACCCCGCCCCCCGCAAAAAAAATAAAAAAGAAAGGAAGGAAGGAAGGAAGAGCTTCCAGCCCAGCTGGGTGGTTCAGTTGGTTGGAGCATCATCCCACACACCAAAAGGTTTCAGGTTCAATTCCCAGTAAGGGCACATCCTAGGTGGCAGGTTTGATTCCTAGTGGGGGCAAGTACAGGAGGCAACTGGTTGATGTTTCTCTCGCACATCAATGTTTCTCTCTCTCCCTATTTCTCTCTTCCTCTCAACTCAATAAAAACATACCCTTGAGTGAGGATTAAAAAAAAGAAAACAGCTGCCACCTTCCTTTGTAGTCAGCAAAATCTGACAGCTACAACCTTTAGCTTATAAATACCTAACCGTGACAATGGAGTAAACTTTAGGAAGAAACCACAACAAATTAAGGGGTATTCAAATCACTCAAAGAAAAGTGATCATCTTCATGTAGTTGACAACCTTAAAAGGGAGTTTGCTGTCATGGATTGCAAGTCAAGGTTTGGAAGCAGTGTACTTCCCACAGATGCGTATTGTTTCTGCTTCTCCTGTGGTTTTTCTCACACAGAGACACCCTCATTGCTAGAGCAGCTTCCACGCTCATGACGGGCATTGTCTCCCTGTCGGTTCTTTCGCTTTGAAAGCATTTGTCACAGCTTCCGGAGACCAGCAGTTTGCGGGACAGCATTCTTTCTTCCATCAGATCGATAACCACAGAACAAATAGAAGCAAGCATCAAACACAACCTCTTTCACCAGGAGATTCATCACAGCTGACTACCAAACATCAAGTGTCTTCAGCTAAAATAAGCCAGTTCGTATTTGATTATAGAATAGGACAAAGATAGCCTTTGGGACCTTTCTTCAATCTCTTGACAGGCTTCTTTACTCAAAATAGACATGTCCTCAGCATTTCTTATAAACATAGTCACGATGTCATTGTGCTCTTCTGCAGAATATATGTGCTGTGCTTCGATACAAACAGTAAAAACATTTTGATAGTAAAATTTAAAGAAATCCATGAGTATTAGCAAAAAGACAATTTTACATCACCAAGAAGGGTTATATGCATTTACTTATACAAATGGGATTTGTATTAGAGATGTTTGTGGTCTACTAGTATATTCAAAACAATGGGAAAAAAGATAAGAACAACAGCATAGCTAGGCATCCATCCCAGGCTCCCGATTGAACTATTGAAATAAGCTTATTGTCCTGGTATCTTTGTTGATAGTGGTAGTTTTCGTTTTCAAAAGTGTTCTGGTTTAGATGTTAATTATATAGCTACCATCTTATGGGAGATGTGTATAATATGATTATAAAACTGATATGCTGATTATTGATTAAACAGAAGGTAGACCCAAAGCAGCCTCCTCAAGACCCAGTCGGCCATCCCATCATGCACCTGTCTGGTATTAAGCATGCCACGGGAGAAGCCATCTACTGTGACGACATGCCTGCCATGGACGGGGAACTTTTCTTGGCTTTTGTAACAAGTTCAAGAGCTCATGCTAAGATTGTGTAAGTGATAAAGTTTTTACCTGGTAGACATGAACGATGTCTCATCTAAGTCACATTAGTGACAAGTAATGGTGTGAGGAGGGCAAGTTACTGGTTGGTGATATTCAATGAAGATTAGAGGTGAGGTGGGATCCATATGTAGGATTTACTAGTTTGTCCCTCCATTGAATGGTTTCATTGTCCCAGGGATTTCCCCGATCATCTGGCAGAGAACTACTGGAGTGGTTTTGACTTATCATGCCTCTCTCATATCTTGTTCCCCAATTGAGCCCACCCCCTTTGGTCCCCGGGCTGCGGGGCTCTCTGAGGAGCCTGCTCTGTGTCCTCATCCAGGTCCATTGATGTGTCAGAAGCCCTCAGCCTGCCAGGCGTGGTGGACGTCCTGGCCGAGGAGCACCTTCAAGGCGTGAACTCCTTCTGCTTTCTGGGCCAACCTGAGAAGCTGCTGGAGTCAGAGATGGTACTGAATTTTTTGCTTTCTGTTTTAATAATAACTTCCTCCACCATGGCAGGTCGATTTTCTCAAAGATAGCATAGCATTTGGCACATGGCAAAGGATTCCTATATATTTTAATGCTTATTATAAAACACTATATTCTAATGCTGAATGACTTCACATATATTCATTTTCCACATAAGAAAAGAAGCTGAGTAGTTATATAAAAGGTACATGATTGTTTGACATTTTCTAGTAGTGAGATAGTGTGCTGCCAACAAGTATAGAAGAACAAATGAGGGAAGAGTGGTCATTTTCATTTGCTAATCTCTCTCCTGAGAATCTCTTGCCATGGCCCCAGTCAGTGTGTCCAAAGTCCAAGTCCAAGTTCAAGCGGTGTCTCCCCCATGAAGCCTTTCATTGTCCTTTAGTCCAGGAGTTCTCTCTCCCTGTCTGAACTCACCTTGACTCATCCACTCATACTGCCAGGTATTGGACAGGCTTTTTTTCCTTTGTACATCGGATTGGTTATATATGCCCTTGTGTGTGGAACTAACACTGTGAAAAATAAGTTAAACAAATATGCCCCCTGCCCTCAGAAATGCACACATATGAAAAGAAACAGATATACACACTTTCCCAGAATCCACATGTTGGCAAAGCACAAACCAAGAACACATTGATCAAATATTTACAAGACACGTAAGCATTACAGTTAACAATTTTCATGTTGGGGCTCACTGACATCTAAGTGGGAACTTAGTAGTAGTTGAAAGTCAATAGAGCCTTAATAATCAGTAACCTTTGTAAGCAAATGTATTGGTCACTTTAATAGATTTATCATATATAAAATCTCTTGAGAAAACTGAACTAAGTATATCTGTGTATAGTTATAACTAATAGTTATATTTTAAAAGCAAAGAGACACACCCTAGCCAGTTTGGCTCAGTGGATAGAGCGTCAGCCTGTGGACTGAAGGGTCCCGGGTTTGATTCTGGCCAAGGGCATGTAACTCAGTTGCAGGCTCCTGCCTGGCCTAAGCCCTGGTCAGGGCACTTGCAGGAGGCAACCAATTGATGTGTTTCTCTCACATCGATGTTTCTCTCTGTCTTTCCCTCTCTCTTCCACTCTCTCTAAAAATCAATGGAAAAATATCCTCGGGTGAAGATTAAAAAATAAATAAAATAAAATAAAACAAAATAAAATAAATAAAAGAGACAGTGGTTCCTTGGAGACCCTAGAACAGTTGGTGCTCACATGCCTTGTAGTTATTGATTGTTGGTCTAACATCAGGCAACATTCTGTCACCATCTCGGTGTGCCTGGTGCCCTTACTAGTATGTGCAGGGAACTTTGCAGTAACTGCCAGTCACTCCTTTTGTGTTCTTCCCTTGCTCTCTACATCCTGGGGTGGCCTTTAGTTATCCCCCACTGACATTTACTAGGGTTCAGCTCTGTCTTGGCCCCCTCATTCTCATTTTGGGGAGCAGGGGTGGGAGAATAGATGCATTCTGTGGCACAAGCAATAAGATGCAACCCTGAAGTCACTGAGCCTGACTTTTCTCCCTGTTTGCTCTGGCAGACACAGGGAACTAGAGCTGGTCTCCTGTTCCAGGGGACTGAAAGCCCTTTTGTCCACAGAGGACAATGCACCCACGCAGCCTCAGGTCTGGAGAGCAGGAGGTTTGCTTGGGACTGGAGTCCAACTTTCCTTTGTTCATTCACTTGGGAATTGATTCCTCCTTCAAGTTTAAGCTCAAGGTCAACAGGCATTTTTTAACTGAGCACCTACTGTGGCTGCTCACTGTAGCTGAACAAGACCTGTGTGGTCCTTGCCCTCATAGAGCTTAAAGTCTGGAGGAGAAAGCAAAGTGGACGTTTCATGAACTTTCTACCTTGGATTAAGCTTATTTATTTATTTCCATGCCTTAGATACAGGGCGTGCCCCCAAAATGTATACACACTTTAACTGACAGCTCAGTTTTGAACATGAAATGTACTTTAGTAAACACTGCCTATAATTATTCAAAGTGTGTGTATACATTTTGGGAGGGCACCCTATATTTTTCCCTGGGCTGGTGAATCCTTGAATGAGGCCGTACATCTGATTCATCTGTATATTCCACACACCACTTTTCATGTAGCAGGGTCAATGAGTAGAGAAATAATGCTGTTTGAAAGTTTCAAATGATTAAAACTTTTCCTACCATATCTTCAGTCATCAGAAAATGCAGTAAAGGCATTTCAGCAGGTTTTGTGCAGAACTCAGGCTTCTCAGTTCAGTGTTTACCCAAAAGAGCTTCATCATTTGGGGCAGCCCCTGTCTCTGGCTCTTGCCAGCAGATTTGGTTAATAAAGACGAAAGTTTGGTGACTGAGAGTTTCAAGTCAAGGTTGAAACTCCCCTAAGAGAGTGGCTTTGGCAGAAGAAAATGAGAATTGTGGCCTTTTCATCAATGTTTCCTAAACAAGCAAAGCCATTCCTGTCTGCACAATAGTTCCTGCTCTCTGAGGTGTGGCTATGTTGATTGTGAGCCTCTGGGGGCCAGGTCTGTGTGCTGGGTCACAGAGGCAAAACCAGGTGTTTGTGGAGAGCAGGGAACAGAGCCACTGTAAAGGATTGCCTTTGTTAGTTCAATTCCTTTTCCAAGATTTGTCTACAGCATGTTATGCCTTTTAAAATTCTCTCATTGCAGAAAATGGAAACATGCACAAAAATAGAGATTCAACATTTGTCGAATCTTGTTTCATTTATCACCCCACTGGCCCCACCTACGCAAACCCAACAAACATGCTGTGTGTGTGTGTGTGTGTGCGCGCGCGTGCGTGCGTATGTTCTGGATTTAACTTGCTTTACTACCATGTTTTTCTTGATGATAAAACTACTATACGTTCCCTGTAGAAAAGACCTAATAGTCTAATGTAGATTTTAAAAATAAATGATTAAGTTTTCATTGAGATCATGGTATAAGATGGGAGAGAGAACAAAACAGTCCTGGTGACTTTTTCAGTCCTGAGTATTTTACCTTTCTGGAGCCTTGGTTTGGTTTTCTTTTCCATCAACTTTGTGCCTGGTCCCTGTGTAAACTCCCTAGGCCACCTACCCACCTGCGGGTGACATGATCGGCGTTCTGTGCTTGGTCACACGGTAGCTAGTCCAGTCTCATGTCTGTTCATGAAAAGCTTGTGCTCCTCCACAGTTTGGGGCAGAGATTTGCTCACCAGCAGTGTTGCATCATCCCCCTCTCTTCTTCCTCTCTGGATGAGATAGGCTGTACCTCCTGGTCCTCCCTGTCTAGGAAAGAAAAAGCTACCTCTCAGAATGGCCCTGCTCTTGGGATGGCAACCACAGGCCATGCCCTGAGCCTGGCTCTCCTGGGCCAGCTGGCCCTTGGGCAGCTCTGTGGGCTTGACCTGGACAGAGCCTGAGTCTGCTGTACGGGAGGCAGCATCGCTCTCAATCTCTTCGGCCACCACTGCCAATGATGCAGCAAAAAGACTCAAACTTCCCCAGTGCCTGGGGCAGCAGACTCACTCTGACAAGTGCACTGTCCTACCAAAGCCGTTGTTCACATGGCACCGTGTTTGACAAGTGAAGGGGTCCTTGACTGTTTGTCTAGCTCTGTGCTAGGTGGAAGGAGAAGAATGAACCAGAAGAGAGGACCTGGTGCCTGCCCGTCTGGAACACAAACGTATTTTCTGTGTTGCAGGTGTTTTGCGTGGGTCAGCTTGTCTGTGCCGTGATTGCGGATTCTGAGATTCAGGCAAGAAGAGCTGCGAAGCGAGTGAAGATTGTCTATCAAGATTTGGAGCCAGTGATCCTAACCATTGAGGTAATGAGTTCAAGGGTGGGGCCAAAAGAGCGGATTTTAGTGGTGTATCAGTAAAAATGTTGGTTACAGTAACAGGAAACAAAATTTGATAAAAAAGTGGGGGCTTCATTGGCTCCAACTATATCAGTGTTAGTGAGAAGCCTGACCTTCCAACTCTTCTCCCTGCTGCCCACAGTAGGAGCGTTATCCCCTGTGGTCATAGGATGGCAGCCAGGAGCTCCCAGAAGCAAGAGAAAACAGTGTTGTCCCAGCATTCCATGAGTCCCAAAATCCAGCCTCATCAGGCCCCTTAGTCACATATCCATCTCTGGGTTAATGACTGACCAGGGGAATGGAGGATCTGTTCGTTACTTCTGGGAGGTCAGATTTCTTTGATGGATAAGGGCTGGATGGAGGAATGGTGGAGACCTGAGCTGAAATCTGAGCATCGTTTGGAAGGGGACAGGTGAGAAGAATGCTGGATGGACAACCAACAATGTCCCCAAGAGGAGACACACCCCATAACTCCGTAGAGCAGGTCCTTGAATAACATTGGTTCATTCAACATTGTGTCGTGATAATGTTGATGAGATGCCTTAAGAACTTAACTCTTGTTTCTATCATCAGGTAGCCTATGGTAAACTTGATTTTGTTATAAGTCATTTTGCCATAGTTACAAGAGCCTATGCATGTTGAGTGAGGACTTACTGCATTCACCTTCAACCAGACTCACCCAGAGACTCTCCACCCAGGCACAGTGAGAACCAACAAGATGATCTAGGGAGCAAGTATTGGAGACACTATTTTTAGATCCTTTCATGTATATCTTAAATGAGTATGAGAAACAGATCCTATGATACCTACAGGTATTTCAGCAACTTAAATTGCATTTCCTATCCTATATTTTAGAAAGGAGTTTGAAATTTATAAAGGTTTTAAGACTCATCTCCATGTAATGATAAATGATAAATTCGTTGGTTCTTATAATTCACTGAGTAATCAAAACATGAAAGTTGGAAAAGCAGCGAGAACAGATTAGATTCAGCACATACCGACTCCATATGCTCTTGGAATGCAATATTATCTTCCCAGCATAATGGAAACCTTGCTGTCCAGGCACTAGCATGCCCTGAGGCAGAAAATGGAAATGACTTGGCCAAGATTAGTGTCTCCAGGAAAAGTTAGCCTATCCTCCTGCTTTGTGCCTAGGAGCTCAGAGTTCATTTCTAGACAGTGTCCTCTGTGTTTTAAAATTAAAATAAAATCATGTGAAGAAAACAAAAATATGAAAGTTTAATTGGAATCAAAGAGTGATTAGTTCTTCTAAATTTTCCTGGCCAGTTTCAAGTTCAAACATGTTGTTCACTTCTCAGACCCTTTTCAATCATATCCTGCCTGCTCTGCTTCCTTACTTTACTCTATTTCTTCCCCAACATTCTATTTTAGAATTAGAATGACTTCTCCATAAGAAATTATTTACATAACTAGAGGCCCAGTGCACAAAATTTGTGCACTCGGGGGGCGGGGGAGGGTGCGGGTCCCTCAGCCCAGCCTGTGTCCTTTTGCAGTCCGGGAGCCCACAGGGGATGTCCGACTGACAGCTTAAGCCCGCTCCCCACTTCTGGCTAAGCAGTGCTCCCCCTATGGGAGCGCACTGATCATCCGGGGCAGCCCCTGTGTTGAGCGTCTGCCCCTGGGTGGTCAGTGCACATCATAGCAACCAGTCGTTCTGCAATTTGGTCGATTTGCATATTAGTCTTTTATTATATAGGATGCTTCATCAAAAATTTTGTTTGTAATCCTTTGCCCAATACCAGTGGCTATCTTCTCTTCTTTCCCTCTCCCTTCCAGCTAAATTCAATTCTAAATAAGCAAATAGATAAGACTCTCTTTCTGTCCTCCCCAACTCCAATCAGCAGACCTCTGTTGCCTGCCAAAGAAGACCAGCATCAAATAAAAAACTTGGACATTGTGGAGTAGAGCCACCTTGTGTTTCTATTAGTGATGAAGCTCTCCAAGGTCGATCAAATAGATTAGAGTGGATTTAGTAATCAAAGTCATTTATAGCAGGGAAATATGCCCAGCTCTCTAGATATTAAAGTTATTTTTATCACTTTCCTGACCAGAAATTTTTCAGGAAATTGGCTCAACGTTGCTCAAAGAGCAAGCAGCAAGTGAAGTGGAAAGAGATTAAATTTTTAAAAATAGGATTTATAGAACTTAACTTCCGTTTCCGACCTGGAATAGCTGAGTCTTAGATTAATAAGAAAATCACATAAATTGATTCCAGTAGAAAAGTGTGGTATCAGTCAAAATAGGATAAAAAAATGTGTCTCTGTCACTAATCGCTAAGGTTTCACCTAGCTTGTGCTTTTTAGAGTTTTTAATAGTAGTTTGAATGGGCAAACCTTTGGCTCAAAGGGTCAGGCCAATGACCCTGGTGAGAAAAAATAGGCTCTTGACCAGAATCTCCCATCAGTCATCATGATCAACAACACTAGCTAATTCCTACACAGAGCTCACTATGCAGTTATATAGTGCTAAGCTGCTTTCCTACATTTACTCACTACATTCTCACAATAATCCCATGAGATTAAAAACTGTTATTATCCCCATGCTGGCGAGGAAACTAAATGACAGGGTTGCCCCCCAAGGCACACAGCTGGTCAGTCATAGGAGCAGTCAATAAACACTCTATCAAAGAATCTGTGCCCCACGGAAGTAAAAACAAATCAATCCCTTTTCCAGTGTAGGAAATGGCGGGATCCCAATAGGACATCCCTGTAAGGTATTGCTAGATGCCTACTGGTGTGGCTAATGCGAACCAGCGATAGGAGAATCCCCAGTTGCCAGCAGGCGGGAATCCCATAGATGGGCAGTAATCATGGGAGATGATGCTGCAGGAGCTGGCGTGTGGCATTGCCCAGTTGGCACAGGGATTACAGTGAGATAAATTCCTAAGGATAGGCAAGAAAACCAACCTAGATTATTATCGCTGCACCCCAGGTTATGTGTCCCCACTACTGTTCCCCTTCATTGGGCACCCAGGGGAAGCCAATAAGAACCAGTGTATAATTTGTGGTACCCATGCTGGGCTTGTAATGGAATCTTACCTCCAGGACTGGAGGTTCCAGGTGCCCTACTGCCCTGTGCAAATCTGTGCTCATCTCCCCAGACTCGGCCGATGCCCCTGTGTGTGGCTCCTTCATGGGGCTGGATAGCATGCCCAGGCAGCCTCACTTTTCTGTTCTCTTTCTAGGAAGCTATACAACACAAGTCCTTCTTTGAGCCAGAAAGGAAACTGGAATATGGAAATGTTGATGAAGCTTTTAAAGTGGTTGATCACATTGTTGAAGGTAAAACTATCTGGAAAAAAAAATGATGAGAAGGGGAAGCTACCCCGAAAGCCTTCCGAGTGCGTCTTATCTAACATTGCTCCTGGGAATAGGCAACTCACTCATAAATGCGGTCCCCTCTGTGGTGTGTGTATGTATGTGTGTGTGTGTGTGTGTGTGTGTGTGTGTGCACGCATGTGAATGCATATGTGTGTGCATGTGAATGTGTGTGTGTAGCACAGCAGGGAGGCACAGTGGGAGGCCTTAGCCATGCCAGCCCCATGCAGTGACCACTTACCCTGAAAGAAAATTGGAATATGGAAATATTGATGAAGCATTTTAAAGTGGTAGATCAGCCCAGCTGGCGTGGCTCAGTGGTTGAGCAGTGACCTATGAACCAGGAGGTCACCAGGAGGTCCAGGAGGTCACAGTTCGATTCCTGGTCAGGGCACATGCCTGGGTTGCAGGCTCGATCCCCAGGGTGGGGCATGCAGGGGACAGCTGATTAATGATTATCTCTCATCATTGATGTTTCTATCTCTCTATCCCTCTCCCTTCCTCTCTGAAATCAATAAAAATATATTTTAAAAATAAATAAGTAAAAAAATAAAGTGGTTGATCAAATGCCTGATGGTAAAACTACCTGGAAAAAAAATGATGAAGGGGAAGCTGTTGTGGCCATAGTTGTTACATTTCTGTTCACAGCCATCTTGCAGGCTGGGATTTGAAGCTCAGAGTGGTTAAGGGGCATGACCTCATACAACAGCTACTAAGTGACAAAGTTGGTCTGGAATTGATAGCTTTTCTTTTCTTTCTTTCTTTTTTATGATTTCCCAAGCCCACAGTTCTTTCTCTTTCATCCTTTCTCTGATTTTGCCAACCTTCCTTCCTGCTGTCTCCCTCCCTTTCTCTTTCCTTCCCTTCCTCCCAGGGCATTCACAGGCCTCAGGGATATTGTGAGTTTAGTTCCAGACCACTGCAATAAAGTGAGTTGTAATCTTTTGGCTGGTGGAAGGTCTCCCTTTCAATTTGTAAAAGGAAGAAGAAGAAGAAGAAGAAGAAGAAGAAGAAGAAGAAGGAGGAGGAGGAGGAGGAGGAGGAGGAGAAAAAGAAGAGGAAGGAGAAACATCTGTTAAGCACAATAAAGCAAAATGCAATAAAGTGAAATATGCCTCTATATGGATAAAATAATACTGATCTCAAAGATCCATTGTGAAAAGTGTAAGAGAGAATACATGTGTGCTTGGCACAGAGTAAGAGACCGTAACTGTGAGCGACAATTATTATTAGTTAGGATGTTTTTGTTGTTCTTCCCTAGAAAAGGTTGTCTATTGTTGAGCTCTCACGCTGGCCGGCGTGCACTTATCAAACCCATTGCTTCCCAGTTTTTCTCACTAGAAGACGAACATGAAACCAGCCTGGAGATTCCTGGGCCCCTTTCTTGGGATTCTAGAGTCGGAGAACCCAGGGGCACCCGACTGTTTTCTGATCAGTCTTACCAGTGCTCCGGGTGATTCTTGGGATTAATAAAGTGGCCAACGCTCCGAGGCTGAGTTTGTTTTAGGGGAGAAGAGGGAGCATGTTTAGCATAGAGAGTCCATGGTGTGAACATCTTGGAAATGTCAATATTTAGGGGTTTCTTCCACTTGTGCCACAATATGTTTTTATGGAAGGTCCTGGCATCTTATTTAATTATTTATTTCAGTTAGGTAATGTGTTCATTCTGTGTCTTTCTTGAATTTTAACTTGCTACCTGCATCACATCCTGTAAATAGGTATAAAAATGATACAGGAAGGTCAAAAGGGGACTTTTAAATTTTCATTCCCTTAACTCACTAAGTTTGTTTGTTTTTCTCACTCTTCAACTGTCATTTGGGTGAAGATGTTTTGACTACTTGTTTCAATGTGAGATAATTGGAGGTAATTGTCATAACAGCCCTTGATCTGCCCCTTAGGAAAATTGGTGCTCCAAGAACAAAGAATATTTACAAGATAAAATACAGGCATTATATCAAGTCTTACACTGTGTTGTGGAAGGGGGTGATATTATTGTTTGCCTTTGCTGGCTGTGAAGATAGATTTCAGCCCTCCTTAACCCCGGGGTCACAGGCATTAAAGAGCACCGCGCACAAATGAGCCAGCGGAAGCCAGAGAGGCGTGTGATCCAGCAGGAATCAAACCTAAGTTCTCCAATTCTGAAGTTAGCACGTTCTCTCCTCTGCATTAAGCCGCTTCCCGTTTATCTCTTTACAATTTCCATCGCTGGGACGGGCTTTCCACTGGAGAGGGAGATGGCAATCTCTGCAGCAAGATTTGCGAGAGGCCTGAAGCCCCGCGCGAGATTACCTCCCCGCAGCCGGTCCTGCTGGGCACAGCACAGATAAACTTCCTATCTGGACGGCTTTGCCTTCTTTAAGGGCCGCTATTAAAATGTAAATATGCCAGGAGGAATCACTCCTAAACCCATACTGGGATGAAATTTTATCTCAGGGATTAGTTGAACAAATTGGTTTCCAGCCTAGAGAGTTGAGAGCAAGGCCCCAGGGTGAAGGAGGGTACCGTGGTGTGGGGCGATAGGGGTGGGCAGCACAACATAACAGGGCCCTGGAAATGTCTCTTGTCTAGTATTTTTTTTTTTTTAGTTCTGCGTATTTTTAAATGAAGTGCATATTTCACAAGATTAATTTTGAGTGGATAGGTGTGAGCATTAATATTGCAAACCATACACTGGAGCCTACTGGTAAGTGGGGTTTTCAATGTACAGGCCCCGATAAAAGCTTACATTGCAACCGAGATCTGAGTTCTTGACATTTTAATTTTTGTGTTTTATAAATGAAGCAGAATCTGTCCATTCTTTTTTACTCTTTCTTTACTCAGATTGTGGATGAGCTAGGAAGTCCAGACTCCAATACAAAAGATTTCCTTGGGAATCTTTCTCAAACAATTTACAAATCACTATTATTGGGTGTATTTTTAACTTTTAAAAGTTCTGCCTGCCATAGCTGGTTTGGCTCAGTGGTTGAAGCATTGGCCCTTGGACTAAAGGGTTGTGGGTTCAATTCCCATTAAGGGCATGTTCCTCAGTTTCAGGCTCGATCTCTGGCCCTGATTGGAGTGCGTGCGGGAGGCAACCAATCGATGTGTCTCTCTCACATTGATGTTTTTCTCTCTCTCTGTCTCTCCCCCTCCCTTCCACTCTCCCTAAAAAATCAATGGGAAAAAAATATCCTTGGGTGAGGATTAGCAAAAAAAAGTCTGCCTTTCACCTAGCTTGATGACTGTCATAGTTGTGCTCTGTTTTGTTTTGTTTTTTTATGAGGTTTTTAAAAGCTGTTTTTTAATTTTTTTCCCTGCCCTCCAATGAGTTTCTTAAACATTTTTTAGAATTCTATTTTGATTTATCACTAGTGTTGTTTTTGTTTTATAACTTTATTTGACAATTAGTGATCAGTTCTCATCCATGTTAACTGTTTGTAGATTTTTGGAGTGGTGACAAGTACATAGGTAACTAGTATGTAGGAGTGGTGAATCTTCATCTTCATTACATTTATTGGACAACCACTCCTGGATAGGGTATGGGACATTCCTTATTCCTTTGGCCCAGATATGCTCTCCCTCATTTACAATATAATTGTCTTTAAAATGTTCTCTATATACATTGAGAACCACATGAGGCAATGTTGTAATTCTGTTTCAAATACAAGTTAGAAAACTCAAGAGGAAAGGAAAGTCTATTGGGCTTACCTGTACCTTTATTCTTCCCATTGCTCTCTTGCCTTCCTGATGTTCCAAGATGTTTTTTAATCATTTTCTGTCTGTTTTAAGAACTTACCTGAGCCATTTGTTATTTTAGGATAGGTCTGTTGAAGACAAACTCTCTTAGTTTTCTTAGTTTTTCTTCATCTGAGAATGTTTTTATTTCCTTATTTCCTTTTTATTCTTTTTTAAAAAAATATATTTTTATTGATTTCAGAGAGGGAGAGAGATAGAAACATCAATGATGAGAGAGAATCATTGATCGGCTGCCTCCTGCATGCCCCACACTGGGGATTAAGCCTTATAGCAAGCTAATTTTTAAGTTGATAATTTTGTGTGGCCCGTGAGAGATGTTATAAATATGCAAATTACCCTTGGCAGAAAAAAAGGTTTCCCACCCCTGATCTAGGGGGAATACATAGATGGGACAGAGCCTCAGGATACCCCAACATTTAGAAGTCAAGCTCAGGAGACTGATGCCAGTAGGTTAGGAGAAACCAGAGGCCTGGGCTGATTGGTATTGTTTGGAATTATCACAATTAGTGTCCTTGGGCTTGGGAAATCCAGTCTGATTTTCCAAAAATTTGAAAACCAGATGGTGTTATTTTCAAATGATTGTCTTCATAGGATGTTTTGCTTCTAGACCCAAGATCAGGATTCAGCAGGCCCAGGCCCAGGCATGTATGTTTTCAACAAGCACTTCAGGTGCTTCTGCTGCTATGCTGGTGGTCCACAGTTCACTCTGAGCAACACTGATCCCAGGGCTGAGCTACTGGTGGCGTCTGCTGCATCTTCTAACTTCACTCCACTGCTTTATAAGAAGCCTTCTTCCTTCAGGCTTATGTCATTAGATACATTACTCTCATACTCACTGTCACTTAACCATCTCCCAGTTCCTTCTCTGATTACTAATGTTGGCATTTCGGTAGTTAGTTTCCTTGGATGTGAAGAGTTTATTTATTTTTTATTTTATTTTTTTAAAATAAATCTTTATTGTTCAGATTATTACAGTTGTTCCTCTCCCCCCTCCCATAGCTCCCCTCCACCCAGT